TGAGTCGCAAGCTTGGAACTTTGGCTGAGATTCAGACTCTGGCACAGAAGGTGGATACCATCAAGGAGAAAGCTGACGGGTCAGCACGGATTGGGATAGATTAATTACGCCATTATTGGATTAAGAGGGGTTGAGGACCAACGGAACTTTAAGACAGAGAGGAAATTATCTCTGTCTGGCGCCAAAACAATTTCTTATCTGAATCTGGTGCCCTTGAGCCTGTGAGGTTGAAGCAAATACTGCCACCTCAGAAGAAATGTGGAATGCTGCAGTCGCCATGGCAACTCTGTCTCCCTATCCCAGCCTGGGCGGGACTGCGACCGGAGAAGGCCACTGAATCATTCCAGGAGTCACTGTGCTCTCTAAATCCTACGACCTACCCCCCCGTCCAAACGGAGGTGAAGAGTGCCGCTTATTGTGGCTACATGCACTGACGTGTGGAGAGTCCCCAATCCTACCTCCCCACCTAGTGGACACTTATGTTGTGTAATGTCTGAAGTCTGTTGCATTTCTGTCTGAGATGTTTTTGCATAGCAAAGCTGCCCTCTCTGTGGAGGGTAACTCTGAAGTGCCTTTTTTTCCTCCACCTGACTCAATCCTCATGTAAACCCTCTGATCTCTATTAAGGTAGCGCGACTCGGGTTGCAAATGACCCACAGTCACCAGTTCTTGTCATGTGTCTATGCCTATGTACGTATGTCTGATCTCAGAATTGTGTGTACTGAAACTCTAATTTCCCCCCGGGATTAATAAAGTATCTTTGAATTTGAATTGAATTCAGTCGGACTTAGGTGTTCAAATTTTTTAAATTTAATTTAATTCAGTTTAGTTTAGTTTATTTTTATAAGCGCTAATTCACAATTCAAGTTATCAAAGGCACATTAAAGTGAGCATTCCAAATGAACCTACTTATCAGTACATTCAATTTCCAAAATGTTGATTAGCAGAGTTTACAGGCCAAAGACACAGCTCATAAAACCTAGAATGGCTCCTGTCAAAACATGAATAATTATGTTCATAAAATTGATTATTATTCTCTGTGTTGCGGTTTATTCTTTAAATCTGAGTAAATGTAACGGCTGAGGAAAACCCTCAGTAGATGTTTTCTAAGAACTGTTGTGTTCAAAGTCAGATGATGATGTGATATGACCTATTTAGCTAGAAGCAAGTACTGGAAGTGCGCGATTCTCAGACGCTAATATCAACTGGTGTGTTGGTTTGACAAGCTGAGAGGGATCATCTGCACTGCAGGTACGTTATTTCCCTGAACAACAAAACTATTTCTATTAAATTTGTGTAAGAAATGTGCATCAAACTAGATGTGCAGTTAAGACCGATGAAAAGACAACTCTTCAAAATAATTTGATATGTTTGGTTTTTAGGTTTGAACTGATAAAACAAAGTTATTTACCAATAAAAGCCTAAATGTGGGCCGAGTCCGTTTGGTAGCAAAATATCTCACAAAGCACAGGAGAGATATTTATGAAACATTCAGATTTACATCTACAACTGACTACATTTTGAAGTTAACTTCATACTAGATGAGCCAACTGACCTTAAACACACAAAACTCAATCCCTTTTTCGGCTACAGAGTTAAATTTCTTAATTGAAATTAGATTATAGTTTAGGGATAATATTGTTGATTGCCTGATCTTTCAAATACTAAATATTTCTTCACAAGAGTCCTGTCACATAAACATATGAATGTTATCGTCCAACGATAAAGTAGGAATTTGGGGAACTATATACAAGCTCACACTGAGCACCCAGAAGCAGACAGAAAAGCATGTCTCTAGGATCAATCACTAACTCTCTCATAACAATCTGAAACATCTTTTTTTGGCCTGTCTATCTATAGAGCATCTTGTTTTGTTTTGCTTTGTAACCAAAAATCAATGAGCAGGAAAAAGCATTCTTGACAGCCCAGATTCGGCTGTTAAATGCTGTGATGGACATTAAATATATTCAATGTTTCAGCGAATGAAATTCAAGAGATTTTGATCATAAGAATAAATAAAAACACACAAAAAGCTGTTGATATACGATCAGAGCTGATGTAGAAAAAGATCAGCAGAAAATACAAACTGAAGACAGAATAAAAGGACAAACAAAGGCATAGATTTGTGTTTGCTTGAGACAAAGGAGGTTTAATGCATCTTCAGGCGGTGTAGAGGGAGATCCTCTATGCTCTAAGGTGAAGGTCACAGGGAGTTTTCTTTCCACAGAGCCCGGCAGTAATGACTGACTATAAAGAAAAAATGCAAATCATATTCCTTAATCAAAGATTAATGGTTATGGTTGTTCTAGAGGGGATATTGTACCCTGGCTCAATGTACTGTATCACTTCTTGAAATCACTGTCCATCAACAACATTTATCGGCAGCATGTCTGTAGTAACCATGTTACATATTCGCTGGGCAATGCCCTCTGCTTTTGTGGAGTCATACCCTTCTTCCCAATGCTGTGGTGATTGTAGGCTGAGAACCACTCGCTGTTTGTGGCACGGCTGAATGTGATATATTTAGTTGGTAATTCAACAAAGTTGTGGAATTGTTGTACTTCAAAATACTTCCACATATTGTGCATTTGGCGTCGTTGTCATTGACCAACTCTAAGTGGCTCCATGCTGCACTCCGTTTTGCCCTCTTCATCCTCAGTGTACCGACCATTTCTCCTTTGTCTGTTGCTGTCGACAGAGCCCAGATTCGCTTGTGTTCCAGCGTGTGCGTCAACTATGTCTGGCATCAAGCGCACCCCACAATGACTGGCGGGGAATTACGGGTTCAAAACGCAATTAAATAATTTTACTCAAGTAATTTCTTATCATCAATTAATTGATAATTGATTAATTGCTTGTATCCCTAATTCGGGCCTATGGACATGATTAGTCCAGTATATATAGTAGTTTGGACTGTTTATTGAATTTTCCTACAGTAATTTCAGTCTTAAAATTCGCTAATATTGACAGGCTGAATGTATCGCAATATATCGTATCGTCTCCCCTGTATCATGATACTATCGCCAGAATTTCACCAATACACATCCCTAATACACATCCCTGTCACATGACTAAATAATTACACATCATCAGGATGGAAAAATGATCAGTTGTCAACATCAGCCCAGTTTTACTTATCGGACAATATCAATATGTTAAAAAAAGACTAACGTCTGCCGATATCGATACTGACGTCGATATATTGCGCAACAGTCGCCCTCCCCTCTCAGCCTCCAGAAGCCCGGTGCTCGGCCCATATGCGGGCAGGGGTTTTTACAAGTTGTGTCTGACGCCGGGTGGAAGGCGGGCCGTCGGAGGGGATGTGGTCTGGGGCGATTATGGGCGCACGCCGAGCCCTTTCGGATGTCCCCAGCTGCAACGCCTGTTGGGGTCGCAATAGTGTGGGCAGCCCCGGCCCGTTGCCTCGGCTGGCGCCTAGCAGCTGACTTTTAAACTGTTGCAGACCAGAGGAATCTGACAGTTTAATTAAAACAAAGCTATTTGAAATGGTTTTGCCATCAACTTTGGACTATTTAGACTTGGGCTTTCCTTTGAGACAGGAGCAGATAGAAGTATGAAGAATGTCGAATTTGCTTCTTCTTCTTTGATGTTGTATTGTGGATGCCCTGTTGACTGATTTCCATTGTGATGAATACCTCACGTTGTTCATTGCTGATTGGTCCTAGGGCTGCCCAGGGCTGCCCAAAGGTGCGTGAAGACGGTTTAGACAACAGTAGATTCTGCCCTACAACTGAGCTCTGCCGATGGGTTGTGGCTGCACACTATATGAATATTTACATATACACTGCTTTATGAAAGAGGCTATTGTTGGCAACATGTTGGAGGCAAAGTCTGAGTACTTTACAAATTTTCATTTTGACATTAAATTGATAAAGACACCTAATGTCCTAGCAGCTCTTGGCTGCCTAATACAGATATTTAATTTATCTCATCCCTTTACTGGTAACTTCTCTTCTTGGTGCTGAAAGATTTTATGATACTGGTGTGGGATTTCACCCAACAGCTACAATATGTTAGCCTAGTATTCTGAAACACACCTGCGTATCAAAGACTGCAAGCTAATAGAAATCTGCATCATTTATTTGTCTCTACAGGCCCTGCAGCGTTCAGCTTGCATGTGACTGGCAGGCCTGTAATACACCTCCTCTCTCTTTGTCCCTATAAGATGCCAGCTGTACAGCTACAGACCGTGCAGCTCCCTGCAGAAGAGGCAGCACGTGTTCATCCATCTGAGCCAGGCTTCTCTCACACCAACCGACACACACACACACACACACACACACACACACACACACACACACACACACACACACACACACACACACACACACACACACACACACACACACACACACACTTTATTAGCTCACCATGAATTTGAAGGTGCAGACATGTGCATCTAAGAAGTACCAGCTTGTGTTGAATTGCTGTTTTACAAAACCTAGCCGTCCGTTTGAGTCTTTACATTCATGCTAAAACATTAGTGGGAAGATCAGAAATAAACGCTTGTTAGTTTCCACTGATTGAGTCAATAAGCTGCACTTAATGCAGAACAAATTTCCTTCAGGCAAAGATCTTCCACAGATATATCTAACCTGGTTAGACTAACCAGTTGTAACAGATTGGACTGCACAGTCTTTTACATAAAAATGTTTCGGTCTGAATGTTTGGTGAGTGTTTTACTATCTATCTGGTACTAGTGGTAAAGCACCAGCGTCTTGGTGGTAAAGGCTGCTTTCGGTCTCTTTTATTTATAAATTATAACATATTCGTGACGAGAATTTAAAGGCAGGAGAAAGAAACGACGTTACATGAGAAAGGTTCAAGTTAAAGCTCAACAGGACATGAAGACATCCCCGGGAGGAGGTCAGTGTGACCTTATAAAGTGTCCCCTGACAGCGGAGCGGAGTTCCTGCCTCTTTTCTCCCGCTGAGATCCGTTAGCAGAGCAGAACACTGAACTTTCCCTACCGGACTCACCGTGTCGGAGTGGAGGTCCTGCTGTTGGCACAGTCGGTACAAGAACGAAGTTTGTTCTTTCAGGAGGGTCTGCCGCGTCGTGAGGAACACCGTTCCACCCACGTTCAGCCGGACCCACTTCCCGTTGTTCCCACCGTTGGGGTTGATGACCGAGCCATTACCGACGCTCAGAGACGTCGTCCCCCGGGGCTCAGTGGTTGCTGTGCTGGTAGCAGAGGTCGCGCTCTCTCCCGCCTCGCTGTCTTTGTTGTTGTTGTTATTGTTGTTGCTGTTGTTGTGGCGCTGACAGCCGCTGTGTGTTGACTGAGCAGGAGCCTCCGCCGGCTCCCGCTGCTTTTCTGCGGACGTTTCCATCAGTAGAAAACCGCAAGACAGAGGAGAACCCGCACGTTCATACACAGACTCCCAGCTCGACTCTGTTAACAACGACCAAGCTCCGCCCCATACGCGCACGAGCTCAAAAGATCAGCGGCATCAAGATTCAGGAAACCAGACGCAGTACGTCCGGGAAGTACTTTCAAAATAAGATAAAAATATTCATGGAAATCACATATTTTGTAGTTTTAAACGTTGGCCTGATGAATCCTGGCATTGTCATCCTGGAATATGCCCGTGCCATCAGGAAGATGGAATAACCTGGTCATTCAGGATATTCAGGTAGTCAGCTGACCTCATTCTTGGAGAACATCCTGTTGCTGAACCTAGATCTGACCAACTGCAGCAACCCCAGATCATAGCACTACCCCCTCAGGCTTGTACAGTAGGCAGTAGACATGATGGGTGCATCACTTCATCGGCCTTTCTTCTTACCCTGATGCACCATCACACTGGAACAGGGTCCATCTGGACTCATCGGACTAGTTTTTAATAATGCATTGGACAGTTCTTAACCCAGTTTTAGTCATTTCTGCATCTCCTTAGAGGTTTTCTCTGCTTGATGCCAACGATCTGACCCTTCTCACACAGACTAAAATATTTTCGACGACCACCAGATGTGTCTTTCCACATGGTTAAGAAATGAGAAGAAACTCATTGCACCAGAGTTAAATAACTTGTTGCAGCTGAAAGATAATTGCCTATGCAGTGATTGTCCAATAGGAGGCTCATACCTATTTGCTTAGTTCAGTCCAGGTGGAGACTTTTTTTTTGTTGCCGGGCAGTGTATAAAAGAAACACATCACAGACAGTACAATACCTTTAACACACTGGCAACAAGTCAAAGATTAAAGGTTTGCTTTCAGCTAATGTTTAAGTTGACTTGTAATGAGAAGTCCTTAATGGGAGGTAGGAGAATGTGATTGACTGTCAGTTTTGACCGGCGGCGGCACGTGGTTTGAAGGAGAGGCAAACAAATAAATCAGGTAGAGGTGGCTTTATTGCAACATGCTTTGTCACCAACACCAACATTCACCTAACACCAACACTCACTGCCTTTTATAACTAAGTGACTGATTGGAAGAAACCAAGAAGAGGGGTCATCAAAGAAATAATAACTAAATAATATTTACAGAACCCAACCACCAAAATAATAAATGGTACCAAACATTTACATAAATACAAATCTTACTAAATAAATCCAAGTTAAATCAAACAACAGAAACAAGGTTTCACATAACTCCTCCAAGAATCACACCTCCTTATTTAAGTGGTATGCTCCAGCAGCTTAAAAGCAGCACCTGGGACACAAACTTTCCTTTGCTGCCCCGCCCTGCTGAGGAGACAACACCAGAAAGGTGAGTGAAACTTTGGAGATTAACTTAAACACAAATTGACATTTAACAAACATTTCCTCTTTACACAGGAAGGGTGGCCAGTCCCTCTGCTTCTAAAGAATCTGTTACAAATGTCCATCACAAAATAAATAACTTCAATAACAAAACCTTTTGTCTGTAACTCAATCAGAAATAACAGAACATAAATCATAATGAATGGAACCCCTGGTCTCCATTACACTGATCTTTTCTGTATGAGATCGCATGATGCCCTCTAGAAGAGGCGCTGGTACTGACATCACTGTGATCCCTTTTTAATATAGTCAGACATGGGTGGTGAAGCAAGAACATGTAACACCTTCTATGTAAAACATGCAAAATTGGAATTTTAAAACTCTCAAATCTTTAAAAGGTTGTTCTCAGTTAAAATATTACATATGTGGGATGACTTTGTTTTATTTATATTTTTACTTGACTTTCAGTGACTTTATATGGCGAGTCTATGATTTTGCATCCATTTGCACCTGTCAGCGACCAACATGTGCTAAAATCATTCTGTCACTATGTTGTTTTTTCTGTTATCCACTCTGCTGTGGTCTGTTAAGCCTGGTTTATGCTTCTCCGTCAGCTCCGCAAGGGACAGACACGCACGGACTGACGGAAGCGTTTTGCTCTTGTACTTCTCCGTCTCCTGGAGAGTGTTGCAAAGCAATTGCCCTGCAGGACAACAGAGGGCGTAGCGCTGTTCTGTGGTATCCTGTCATGCATCGGTCCAAGATCGTGTGTTTATATTGTGTTTTTTGTGTATATAAGTGACTTTTAACAGGGACATATTTGTCTCTCATTCTCCCACCCCTTCATGCGCTCCCCACCTCTAAACCCACGTTTCCTGTCATTTCCGTCCACAAATAAAATGCTTGCTGCGCATCTTTTCACTCCTCCAGTCACGGGAGAATTAAACGTTCATATTTTTAGAGTTTTTTCGCGAGGTATTCTTCAAGCTTCTCCGTGTCTGCCGCTAGTTATCCTCGGCTCTCTTTGCAATGGCGGCGCTGTAAACAACAGCGGCATCCTGACCAATCACAAGCTTGCGTAATCCGTCTCGTTCGACGGATGTTTAAAAAAGTGGGCTCGGCTCCGTACGTACTTGCGTGCCCTACGCAAGTACGGATAATGGCGTTGCGTGTCTCCGCACTGACGCAGACGGAGAAGCATAAATCAGGCTTTAGGGTGCAGGCAGCTCTGAACAAGACAGGAAGCGACTGAACAAGCTAGTAATAATAGCTTACTGTCTGTGTGTATATACATGTACCTTTGTTTTTTTTTTTTCAAATTATCCTCTTAAAGTGAGGGTCAAGGCCTGGGTGGAGACATTTCATCCACACTTCCTGTCAGGAAAACGCTTCTGGAAGAGTGGTGTCCTGGTGGACCTAGAGAGCGGCACTGAGGCAGTGGTAGACCGCACCCCCCTCATCCACCCCTCACCCCGCGTGTGCTGTCGGAGCTTCTCAATCTATAAAAAAGAGTTGTTAACGAGCGCGTGCATGCATGCAAGCACGCACTCGCACAAGACTTGCCGCTCAGGATTAAGGCAAACACAATCATTAGATGAAAAGGGGAGGAGGGCATTTTTTTCAAGGAGGCGAGCGGCTCAGAGCGCTAACGTGTCAGATCAGCAGGTGAGTGGCTGAGCCAGGCAGGTGGAGGTGCGGCTGCCTCACCTGGAGACCAGTGCAGTGGCCACGTAGTAATTTGCTGATAACGTCACATTTTTCAGCTCAGCCATCAGCAACAGCTAGTTCTACATAAATGTGGAGCAGAGTTTTTAACCTGAAGATGGAGATAGTATTATGGTTTTGGGCTGAAATATTAAATTTAGAGTAAGTTGCACTAAACTGCCACACTTATGATTGCACACATCTGCAGCACCATTAGACACTCATCTATACAGGTTATCAGCAAAAAAAAGTTAATTTAGGCATTACTTGCACTTTGTGTTTGTGCTGCTGTAACAAGTGAATTTCCCCACTGTGGGGTCAATTAAGTCTATTCTATTATGTTCCTGCATCTCCTCTCAATCCTCCAGAAAAACTGCTGCCTGGTTTTCACACTTTTTCACCTCATGAGCTACTTTTGAACTAAGCAATTAAAAGGGCTCTACCAACCATGAAAATAGTGTAAGGCCGAAGCAGTGAGGTGAAGTCACCTGGGCACAGACATTAGGCACAAATATGAGCAGACATGAACGATCATGTGTTAATTATATTTTTCGGTGGCGCCACATTGAGAATGTTACTCTGGCTGTGCGGAGGAAACAGCTGCCTGGAGTGAGCAAACAATCTGATCAAAAGCAGTCCTGATATGCTGAGAGTAGGGCTGGACTATAATTCAATAATGATATATATCGATCAATAAACATGTGGTTCAATAGAAAAAAACTGATTAATAAAAACTTCGATAAGTTTCCTTTTTGTTATAGCCTATTGGATAGTTTTATACTAGAGTCATTACTTACACCCAACCAATCAAACACACAGACTCAAGCACGCTCCGTCACCAACCCCTCTCAAACCTAAACAGACAGCAGTGCGACTTAAACAAGATGTTGCAGCAAGGAGAGGTGGAAGAAATTGTTCTGAAAAAAGGTTACAGTAGTTCATCAGTGTGGCAATATATTCATCCTTGCAAGTCTGGCAAAACAAACAGTGGTTTGCAACAGAGAAATGATAAAAAAAACAAGTCTGGTAATACAACCAACTTGTTTTATCATAAAGTAATGGCCTAAGATGGCTAGGGCTGCACTTAAAATATATTTTTTACATTTTTAATATAGTTTCAATAATTATTTATGTCGATCAGTATGATTTTTTTCTATAAGCTTTTTTTCTATATTGTCCAGTCCTAGCTGAGAGTCCATAGAAATATTATAAGGAGCAACTGGATCTTTTCTCGAGCTTCCCCTGGGTGTGTTAGTTGAGGGCTTCCAGGGGAGCCTACTCCCCTTTTGGGGAGTCGAGCTCCCCCTGGTTCCCCGGTAAGTTGAACCCTGCCAAAGCCATTTCAAATGAACGCTGTTTTTGAGTTGACGTCAGCTTTGTAGTTTTTCTCCATCGCAGCTCTGGTGCAAAGCTCCCCCTAACGTCTCTCTTCAATCGTACAGCGCTATGATTGCATTTGAATTAGATTATAACGCCATATTTTAACCAACTTAATTAGACATCTGGACAAAATGAACTATGATTAATGCTGGGCTGAGTAATCATGTTAAAGATTTAAACAGATGTGATGTGTCTTTGCTCTCATGGTTGACTCAGAGCAGGCCTCATGTTGACAAAAGAAAACCTGTAGGTGTGTGGGAGACCCCAATGGGTTGTAAGATTGAAGGGTTGCCATGAGAATGGGTTCAGCCCCCAGAGTTGTAGGACCGCTTATTGCCTCAGCAACAAGCTGCAGAGCCATCTGATAGTCTGTCACCTGACAGGGACAGGAAGAAGGAAAAGAAAGGGTGTTCCTTTATTAGACCCGTATTTTAGATTTTATTCATGTTTTCATTCAGATAATAAATGGGAAAGTCCTCATCCAACAGTTTGACAAAAACACATTTTTAATAAAGTTTCCATTTTTAATGATCTGACTGGTTAAGTACACAATATCATAAACTTTTGATAATTACTTTTGTTTTAGAGTCTGACCTTTGAGTCATAGCACCGGGGTGTGGTCTCCTTGGTCTCAGGTCGTCACGGCAACAGATGGTTTTACATGGATGGCCCTTGGAGTACGGATCTCTTTTACAGTCTGAAAACAAAGTAAATTTAAAATCTACAGAGAGATATTACAAGTTTTCAATCTAATGGTTGAAAACATGAATAACGTTGCTGTTCCACCTACTGTTGGACCTCATCAGGTGTTTGAGCGAGCTGAGGTTTGACACCTTGGCCTGATCCCTGTGGAGGATTTTCGCTCGTGGACAGAGGTCATAGGAAAAGTCTTCTCCAAATCTCTTCCACATCACGTTGTATCCACTCAGTTTGTAGATCTCACCGTGAAAGGAAATGTTGTAACACGGCCAGTAACCTGTTGTCATGTTCTGTGTCCTCATGGTCCCCAGCCCCTCCAGGTTCCCTCATGTGTCCCCTAATCTTCTGTGTCCCTGTGGTCCCCCGCTTCTCCAGGTTTCCCTCTAGTCACTTCACTTATTAGTTTTCTGTTAATTTAGATTATCTAGTTCATATCTCCCTTTAGTGTATTGTGTTCCTTCCCCATTTAAGTATGATCCTCTCCTGTCTTCCAGTATAATTAGTTCTGTCACTCTGAGGTCATTAGTTTATTTATCTTTAGTCTTATTTCTACAGTGTTTAGGTTTATTTACGTTCAGTAGCTTTGTCTTACAGATTTTAGGTCTGGTTTCCTCACCTGCCCTGTTCTGCTCCTCCTCTCAGTTATCGATCTCACCTGTGCTCAATTCCCTTAATCACCCAGTGCCTGTGTATAAAACCCTGTCTTGTCTCTCAGTGTTTGTTGGTCCATTGTCGGTGTTGTTCTGGCCTTGTGACAGTGGATCACTGCCACGCCTAAATACTGGACAGACCTACTGATCTTATACTTATAACTGCAATGGGACACATTCATGAGGTATTGAAAGTGTTTATTTGTATATTGATTAGCAGGTGACCCGGTAAGATGGGAAGTATGTAATTTATTGATGGGAAGAACTGAACAAGGAAAGGGCTGTGGAACAAACATTTGTACTGTGGGTGTGTGCTTACCTTTCCTGTTTCCTCCCAGCAGGTGTGAGCAAAATAGTCCTCGAGGGCGTGTGGATCTTTTATAGGTTCCAGAGGGATATACCAAGAGGAGGATTGGAAGAGTGATTGGGTTATTTTAATATGGTGAAGTATTGATGTATGTTAAGCACTGCTTATTTATAGAAATGAATGTAGATATTTTAAAGTAACTATGATTGTGTATATATTAGCTTTTACATTTAGTGTTGAGGTTTTAGGTGATGGTTTATCCCAATTAGGGAGATGTATAAAAGCTGATGTCTTCACTGAGAAGAGGTGAGGTGTGTGGGGAATGTAGAAGTCTGCGCAGCAAAAAATAAAGAGAACACCATTCTCCTGTCCCCTGGTTTGTGATGTTACTCTGCTAAATGGATTGCTTCTAAGGACCGGTCGGCCAAGATAACATGTGGAGGCAGAGAGCATAGACTAACATGTGGTGGGAAAAGAAACGAGCAAGCAGAACCAGATGGTGGTGAACCAGTGGCTTCATTGGATCATCAAGCAGCAGCAGCGAGCAGCACTACGGATAAAACGGAGAAGCTAACAGGCCAGGTTAAGTCTCATCCGTTCCCAGGCTTCCAGAGATGAGGAGTTGGTAAAGCACGCCAGGAGCAGCGGTGGAAATGTATGCAACATAATTTGCTGCAGACCCAAGTTAAGGAACTGAGGGGTGACTTTGACATCAGGTCTGAGCATCAAGATGATTCCGATGTTTCTGATGACCTTAATGGTGACAGAGGTCGAATTGATGAGCAGATGCCACTATCACGCCACACAATAGAACCACCCACACCAAGGGCAATTCAGCTTCATAAAAAGCCCAAGATTCTACCCCTTTCTCCAGAGGATGATACTGAACATTACCTGATGACATTTGAAAGAATAGCCACAGTGTGTCAATGGTCAAAGGAGTGGGCTATACAACTCATTCCACTGCTCACAGGCAAAGCACGAAGTGCATATGTGCTTACGGACATTGATTCTTGTGTTTATGAGAAGGTTAAAGATGTGATCCTGGCCAAATATGAAATCACCAAAGATACAGAAAGGGATTTTGAGCTTTGGAAATCTACAGTGATAATGCCACGTGAACTGTATGCCTAAAGGATTTATTCAGCAAATGGGTGAAATCTGAGTCTTCAACTGTCAAAGGGATGTCTGAGCTACTAATTGTGGAGCAGTTTCTGAGGATGGTGAATCCGGAGATGAAGGTCTGGATCCGCGAACGGGACCCGGGATCTGCGGAGGAGGCTACTCGTCTTGCTGTTTTTCTGTCGGTCAGGAGAGGAAGCAGAAGACCTACCTTCAACTGAGAACGCACCTTCACCAGACACGGTAAGTCCTTTGAGGGTGAAGGGGGTGGTCAGGCTAAGATTAGGGCTCAGGATAACACGAGGCATCCAGCTATAAAGCATAATGCCAGTAAAAGCTCTTTGCCTTGGTTTAAATAAGACATCTGCTGTTATCTTTGCAATAAATTAGGTCACACCCAACATTCATGTCCAGCTACTAACGGGATGCTCCCTCTGTTATGTACAGTACTGTAATGATTAAATTTACATATTATTTAATGAACCATAAAATGTGAGATTCCATAGGAAGTATGAAATCAGTCTTGTGGATCTGTGGATAACTTAAACCAGAAGATTGGAACTTTTTATTGCAGGGATTATATAACCACTTCGTATTAACTCAGAGACAAAGGAGTCAAGTTTTAAAAGTTTAAAGATTTATTACTCAACAAATTAAAACTAGACTAACTTTAAACACTAAATGTATGGTGTAACTAAGGTGAAGTGAGATGGAGAATGGTGTAATGTGGAATGTTGTTCAGAACCAGCAAATCCGGAGAAACGATTAGTTCTGTTGGGAGTGAAGATGATGTCTAGCTCTTAAGCTATGATCGGAGTTTCATAATCACACGAGACGCCATTTTGTCGCTCCACACATACCCTTAGGATGAGACCTCCGTACAGATCCAGAATGCCAGGTCCTCGGAACCCCCTTTCGGTACCGGAGCCGATAAAACGGCGTCAGCAGGACGACAGACTAGTCTTTGGATTTTCTCCAGGTAAAAAGCGACAGTTGGTTGACAGCGTCAGATGGACCCTGAGGGTCAGTGAGTTCAGCTCTTATTCTGAAAGGAACCGTTGCGTGGTTGGTAAAGTGCAACAGATTTATCCAGCTTGTCATTGTTTCTTTCGGCTGAAGAGGAAAGTTACGGATTGGCCACTCCGACAACTTCTCTAAAAATCTTTGAACTGGAGTTTAAGATGATGTGGGCATAGTCTTATAATTTGGATGTTTTGATTTACGGTCGAATCAAGAGGACAGATTTACCAAGCACCACCAAAACCACGCCTCGGTCAGATCTGGAAGATTCTGATTGGATCAGTAAAAGCAATGCGTCATGTGGCTTTACCTTATGTGTAATCAGTCTCTAGTGGAGACATTTAAAGTTTCATTACTTATTATATTCTGTAGGATTATAATATCAAGTAATATTTTCATTTCACAGATTGGTTCACATTTTATTATTGACTAACACTTTGTTTGATTAACTTATTGTCACGGCCTGAGGTATATTATCTCCAGACTAACCTCTTTCCTGCAGGTGGGCGGTGTCGGAGAGCTGCCCAGCTGCAGCCATTCAGCTCCAATCACCGGCTGGGTATAAAAGGAGCAGTCTGAGACCTACACAACGTCGGATGATTAACTTGTTTGGGTACACGACCAAGTCTCGAGCTCTCTTGTGAATTTTTTGTGCTTCTAGTGATCGCTAACTTTCCTCAGCAGATATCCACTCTCACCACCTCTCCAGCCATAAACTACCAAAACATCATGAAGGAGAATGTTCAGCCATCTGTTCGTCAACTAAAGCTGAAGCGATCTTTGGTGCTGCAGCAGGACAATGACCCAAAACACACCAGCAAATCCAGCTCTGAATGGCTGAAGAACAACAAAATGAAGACGTTGGAGTGGCCTAGTCAATGTCCTGACCTGAATTCTATTAAGATGCTATGGCATGACCTTAAAAAGGCGGTTCATGCTAGAAAACCCTCAAATAAAGCTGAATTACAACAACTCTGCAAAGATGAGTGGGCCAAAATTCTTCCAGAGCGCTGTAAAAGACTCGTAGCAAGTTATCACAAACGCTTGATTGCAGTTATTGCTGCTAAGGGAGGCCCAACCCATGGACGAAATTTTGATTTCAGAAGTGGGGGGGGACACAGCAGGCTTGTGCGGATTTGGGGTGGGGGGTGTTATGTAAAGACCCCTTGACACGTCACGTGCCCATCTCAATAATTTTTCCATCCTTATTGAAGTGCAGTTTTGGCTGTTGACAATGGATAGGCCATTGCATTTATTGTTTTGGGTCTTTTTTATTGTTTTTGGTGCAACATTTTCTAACAGGGAGTGAGATTCCTTTTTTATTTAATTTTTGTTTGTTATTTTTATTCATTTAGAAGTTCTGGTTCTGGACATTTCAATGTTAAATGAAGGTTCATTTGTTGCATTTTAAAGGGTGTACTTGCATTATTATGATATATTAACATTATATTAGTGGTTATTTTGGTCTAGATAATGTTGACAATGATATCGTTTATCATCAACAATTTGTTGGACAAAATATCGTCCAGCAAAATGTGTTACTTTCCCAGGCCTAGTCAAAAGTATAAAAATTATTTATACATAAACGGTCCTCCTGAGATCTGGCCGTTTGTTCATTTGCTGTGTTAGAGGACATGCTGAACTAATGTTTTACACATGATCATCACCCTAACATTTGAGTGTATAAAAACATATTAATTATGTTTTTTCCCTTAAAAGTGTTTAAACAGTTGTTGCATTTCAACACACAAAAAATAAAAGGAAAAAATAAGAAATCTAATGAAAAGTGTACATCTTTGACATTAAGCTTAAAAAATCTGTTGACGATGATACTGTTCATTTTTCAGAGCTTTTTAATGTGAACATATACATTGCAATAGATAAGTTTGCAATAAAGTTAAATGATAAAAGTTTTGAAGTTACACTTCTACTACTACTACTAGTAATAATAATTATGATGATAATAGTAATAATAAAAATAATAATTATAATACGAATAAATTGTGTCTGAGGAGTCAGTTATGTGGAGGAGATGAGTTTGTAAAAGTTAGTTTTGAGTATGTTTGTGAAGGAGGAGGTGAGTCTGAGCTTAATGCAGGGGTGTCACATGTCCAACTTACGTTTTGACTTTGAAAGAAGTCTCTTCTATCCACTTTTCGTTTTCTTGACATGCTGCCTCCTGGCTGTGCCTAACTACCAAAGACTCACAAATGAACACTTATTCAAATGTTATGTAATGGAAGCTGAGCTGAGCTCTGATATTACACAGCGTCTAGTTGAGATGTGACTCAGTACCGGTGTTCCCTAGCGGCTCCAAACTAGCAAAACAACGTGAGCACGTTCTGACTGTTTACAACTTGAGTGACAGCAGCAACAGCCAATAATACGTTAGCAAGTATCAGCAGAGCCAATAGATTAGCTTTTGGGCGGGTCTAATAGTAAACCGGTTTCCGTTTCGGTCCTAGTGCTCAACCAAATCCATTTAATGGAGCGTAACATTGTTTTTGGACGGAAAAAAGTGCAGGGGACCAAAACTGCCTTTTGAAAAAGTGGGGGGGACATGTCCCACCCGTCCCCCCCCAAAATTACGTCCCACCAGTTATTAGGTTCAGGGGACAATTACTTTTTCACACAGGGCAATGTAGGTTTGGATTTTGTTCTCTCCCTAAATAATAAAAACCATTTCAAAACTGCATTTTGTGTTTACTTGTGTTATCTTTGACTAATGGTTAAATGTGTTTGATGATCAGAAACATTTTGTGTGACAAACATGCAAAAGAATAAGAAATCAGGAAGGGGGCAAATAGCTTTTCACACCACTGTAGATTAACAGTAAAAACTACACATTGTCACTTTAAAGGATTGAGTTCTCTTGTTTCCATCCAGCTGACCTAAATAAACCATCTCCTTGGACAGAGTATGTGGTCATCAGATAAAATGATGGATTATAAATAATTTTAAGTGTTATTAGACAAAGAACAAACTGGGCAATGGAACCGTAACCTATTTCTATTCTGTTACTGGTTACTTTTGAATTTATTTCAAAATGCATGAATTCAATTAAATGTATTTACAGTGGGTACTCTCTGTTATATTGCAGCCATTTGCTAAAATCAATTAAATTCACTTTTATTCCTTATTAATGTACACACGGCACCCCATATTGACAGAAAAACACTGAATTTTAGAAGTTTCTGTAGATTTAATAAAAAAACTGAAATGCCACATTTTAAAATCTGTGCGCTTGTAAGAGCTGGTGAGATTCTCCACGGGCTGGGAGATGAAGAATCTCCCCATAGTACACGGGTTAATAAATGGATGAATAAATGATTGAGATGATTGAAACGTAAAAGTCAGGGTTAGGTTTCTGTCCTCTCTAAAAATAGCTCCTTTAAAGCCGCTGATGGTGATGGAACCCATAAGAGGATTTTTTACAGTGCAGACCACTTGACAAATCTTTAGCCAGAATGAATGCCTCTGAAAACAGGGAGGGAATGCATTTACCGTGTTTCTTTCATTTACTCTCTAACTAAGCTGATGTTTATCTGAAGGTGGCGCTTAAAGCCTAGCACTGTGATGAGTGGAGAGAATGTTCATAGAAGACTGGGATTAAGTCCTTCATGTTTGTGCGCTCCTCCTGGATGAAAACATGACAGCGTGGACAAGCAGTTCACTTCAGGTTGTTTTCTAACCAGGGATCTTGCAGGTTTGCAAATATCTGCAGCTAAAAACTACATTTTACTTGTCTTTTGGCAACATTTTGCCATGGCAGGTGGATTTAAATGCTGTTTAAGATAGAAGGCCAAGGTCACTGAAGGTATGCATGCATATCGCCCACCGCCTTACGCAGCAGTTTTGAGTGTGTGCAGCAGGGTAGCTGCTGAATGACATCCTTCCAGTGACTGCGTCAGAAATCCTGAAGTCCCAGTGTTTGTAGATCTGATTGGTGGCTGCATAAGAGTACCAGCTGGACTGGCCCAACAGCAGGTTCTCAAAGCCTGGCAGCATCTTAGACAGACAGACAGGGTGAAAGTAAATTGTTGGATTCACCTTAGCTTTTTTCAGCAGTTACATAATCTATGCTAATTCTCAGTTTAGTATGAATTCATCCAAGTGAGAAAGAGATTAAAATCACAACAAACACACTGCTTGAGCCAGCGTTCCCCTCTTGCATTTTCTCCATGAATAACTAGGAAATGTCCCATTTAAGTGGCCTTTTACACATGAAAGCAATTAGGCCCGTGTTGAACTTTCCGTCACAGCATGAGCCAAATGAGCTTGGCCTAACCTTTATGAGAGCGGTGCAGTGGCCCATTCCTGGCATCCTAAAGGTCCCCATGGAGGAGTTGGAGCGAGGCGTCAGAGCTGGGACTAGGTCCAGGAGGTCACCAACACCACTCAGGAACTGGACTGCAAACAATGAAAGATGCTGTGCAAGATGGAGAGAGTAAGAGGTAGACATTACTGAATGGATACTGTCACAGAAATCTAAATGCGTGTGCACACACACACACACACACACACACACACACACACACACACACACACACACACACACACACACACACACACACACACACACACACACACACACACACACACACACACACACACACACACATACACACACACACCTCCCTGTGCTTGCTTTTGGCCCACTGTAGCTCCAGCATGAAGTCCATCCAGCTGGGCCAAAATCAGTCCCAGGTGTCTCCACAAGGAGTCACTGTTTCTCCTTAGTTTCACTCTGGCCCATTCCTCCTGCTTACTTTACATAATAATAATAATAATAATAATAATAATAATAATAATAATAATAATAATAATAATAATAATAATGACAATAATAATAATAATAAGAAGAAGAAGCAGAAGAAGAAGAAGAAGAATACTTAGTTTTCTAATTTTCTAACATTTAGTTGTTTATCCCAACTAAATAAGGGATTTTAACACACATCTTAAGAGCTTAAGCAAAATAAACTCCAAACATTTGAATCGGTTACTAAAAAGGACACAAAAAAACTAAAAACAGCTCAAACTACACTAAGAGGAGAAAGTACATCTTCCACCAGGGCATTTCCCCGTCACCGTGAATGTACAGATTAGTCCTAAATACCAACTATGGACTACACCTCAGAAAGTTTTTCAAGGGATTTAAAACCGTTTCGTCCTTTATCAGCTGAGGGTGCATGTTGGCAAAATGACTGAATGTCTGTCTGCGAATGAGAAAGAATACTGAAATTAAAGGACATTCTTTTGCCACTTGGAAAAACTCCAACGATGTTCATCTTGCTTACATAAAGCTATCTTAATTTTAAAAATTTAAATATGCTAAATGCACAGACACATTGCTGGTGTTCTTGTAAAATGTATGCAAAAAAATATTAAGTTGTTGGACGTAAAACACATTATTTGTTCATTTTGGTTCATCTGGTTTTCTGCAATAAACCAAAGCTTCAAAACAAATTGATTAGCTGGAGTGTGTTCAGGTTGAGGATCTTGTTTAATTTATTTTGTGCTTCAGGTCACATCTCTGTTCCTGCTCACCCTGCAGTGAGGTAACCTTCCAGGTAGTCAGCCAGATAGAAAGTGGCTACATCATCCTGAGCAGTCTCTCCAAAACCTGCTTTGATCGCCAAGACGCCCCAACTAGAGAGGAGCAGAGTGTCATTAAAGTAACCATAGATACCCCTTCTCTCTCCATCAGCCCCTTCTTTAGGATAAAACTTTTTTGGGTAGCATTCCAGTACACAGTGGCCTCTTGGAGCTCCACCATTGTGGGAGGATGGACAGGGTGACACAGATGAGGTTAGATAGCATGCATTATGTAAGATAAGGTCACCACACCAACAGAATATTCTATATGGAAGATACACCTTGACTTGATACGCATTTTAGAGTATGTGATATTATTCATAATTTAGTCACACAATTTTATTTATAAATTCACAGAATTTTAATTGTATGGATTTGAAGTATATTTATTTGAAGCTAGATTTAACAGCATTCAAGGTTCACCTTATTCAGTACACATTTGTGGACATAAAATTAAAAAACAAGTACGAGATTAATATAGGCTTTTATACATATGTATCTGTAGTAATTTCATATAAGTGAAAATGAACCGGAAACAGTACTCACGGTAGGTTTTCATTTTGATAAATGTTCTCTTTGATAAATGTCTTCCACAGGTTGCACCGATGCAGCCAAACAGCACTAGCCTGGCGAGCCAGACTAAATAAATGTATTATTAAACTTTGCAAAGCAAGAATTTGGTCTAGTTCACTAGGCTAAAACAGCACAGCAGAAGATGGAAAAAAACTGAGCTCTGTTTCCACATAACAGCTGACTTTCGAGGTGCAGAAGGAAATATTGGATTTTGCTGTAATAAACACGACGGAGATCAAAAACGGTGAACAGCCAGTATATTTTCATTACTTTGCATCAAATAATAATTGTACAAGAAGAGATTGATTTACCAGCGTGCTCCATGGAAAAACGAAAAGTGTTCTCCACCCCAGATGGGACTCGAACCCACAATCCCTGGCTTAGGAGGCCAGTGCCTTATCCATTAGGCCACTGGGGCGCTTGTATATTACCTAGCGCCATTTAAGAATATATTTATAAGACACGATACATAGTTTTTCTGTTATGGATTTTGCTTTTTTTTAATATTGCGAGGAAAGGAATACTTTATTCATCCTTAAACAGTGAACAAAGACGCCGTATAAACGATTCATAGGCGCTACACTTAACTTTCAAAAGATTACGGTAAAGACGGCAGATCTATGGGCGGTCTTATTAACATTTCAACATAGGGATGTTTCTATTGTTCTGTCATGAGTGTGTGCTAACATGTGAAAATGCTTTCGCGTGTAGAACATCGTAAAGGTTATTTGCCGTACTTTTTATTTTTGGAAGCACTTAAAACAGTATTTTCCCTCACCACATTTGTCCTAACGTAGTCTGAAATGCGTTGGATAACACCATTATAGGGAGAGAGTGGAATTTTCGCGCTTGCGCAGTAGGGAAGTATGCTTAGCTAAAGATGTCCACAACGACAGGGAACAAAATAAACAGACTCTATGGAGGTAAATATATTACTTCAATTACAAAACATCTACTAACTCATCCAAGAGACTACTATTTCACATAAATAAATAAATGTGCGGTTAGCATTTGTCACACAACTTTGTTAGCCACCTGGGATTTGCTAGGTATCGTTAGCAACACTAACGTAAACACAGACCCCAACTGACTGTAAATTAAATACCACCGATTTGTTTTTCTTGAAAAGAACCTTAAACATTCGTTGAAGATGCCACTTTTCGGAAATACTTTCAGTCCGAAGAAGGCTCCTCCTCGCAAATCGGCATCTCTGTCCAGCCTGCATACGGTAAGCCCAGAGGTCACTAGCTTTAGTGGCATCAGTGTGGAGCACACTTGATAAAGCATGTGGATGTGTATAAGTGTTATTATTTACGACCTTTAAATGTTTGACAGAGTTGTGCAGAAGTGGCTGTATATAAGATCCTGTTGGCGTTCATCATTCTTTATTACACACGGGTGTTATTCTGATTGGCCCTTACTTCTTTTTTAGCTGGATCGCTCAACAAGAGAGCTTGAGCTTGGTCTTGAATATGGACCTCCTACTATGAACATAGCTGGCCAGAGCTGGAAATTTGAAGATGGCCAGTGGATCACAGGTGATGTTTTTAAGCATTTTATTAAACAGACAAAAAATACATAAATTTGTGGACAATTTTTATTTTAAAGACTAAAACAAATAAATTATGCAAATAAATAACGTAACATAATACATTTTAAGCAGAAGAAAGGCTTTTCTAAGTAAGTTACTACCACCCCTGCATTCAGCTGCCTTCCATGTTTGGGAGATGGCAACTTTAATAGCCCGAAAACTCACATTCAGTAAGGTTACACATAACAACTGTTTTACTTGTCTTTATGAAAATGCTGCGAGCAAGCAAGCATGTAGGGAGAAAGTTTATGCTCTTTCTTCTGACAGCTGTGACCCAGGCGTCTTTTGTAAGTTCTTCTGTTTGATGTTCAGAACCTCTTATCCAACCAGGAAACTGAAAAAAAATCTTATGTCTTTATCAAGTTTTTGCTTCTTGTAATCATGTGACCTGGCATGGCAGCCCTTCACACAACACGAATGTACCATTTTCTGCAGGTTTAGAATAGGATAGACTTTATTGATCCCACAGTGGGGAAATTCACTTGTTACAGCAGCACCAACACTTAAGGGAATAATTTGAAGAAAAATAATAACAAAGGTGCACGTATATACACGTAGGCGGTAGTCTAGAATTGTAACATTCCACCACTAAAAACCATGAATATACAGGAAAAAACTTAGGTTCCAGAACTATGCAGCATACTGCAAGAGACACGGACATACTATGTAAATACTATGGTATTGAATGAGTATTGAACTCATAATGAATATTGCATTGATGTTATTGTGTAGCAGGATAATGCCACTACAGAGGAGTTATACACTCTTACTGCAGAGGGGAGGAATGATCTATGGTAGCGTTCTGTTTTACATCTGGGATGTCTCAGTCTGCCTCTGAAGGAACTGTCCATGGTCTCCACAGTGGAATGCAGTGGGTGGGAAGATGGAGGTTAGCTTTACCAGCATCCTCCTTTCACAAGTCTCCTCAACAGAATCAAGTGGGCAGCTCAGAACCGAGCTACCTTTGTGAACTAGCTTGTTCAGTCTCTTCCTGTCTCGGTCAGAGCTGCCTGCATCCCAACACACCACAGCAGAGTGGACATGGAGCCAATAACAGAATGATAAAAGGATTTTAGCTGCAGGAAATTAGTTCTGAAGGACCTCAGCCTCCTCAGGAGGTGGAGGCGGCTTTGGCCCTTCATATACAGAACATCTGTGTTGTTGGACCAGTTCAGTTTGCTGTTGAGGTGAACACCCTGGATGTTTACTGGTGAGTGAGGAGGAGTGTTTCTCTGGAAGTCAATCACCATTTCCTTGGTCTTACTGGTGTTCAAGCGAAAGTGGTTACACTCATCTTATAAGTTGTCAACACACAAAGCGACCAATGCTTCCATCATTTATCCACTTAGCTATCCTGTCATGCAACGCGCTACAGCCTCCGATACGTCATCTGACAATGATCGATTGAGGAAAACCAGTAGTGACTGGAAACGACTTTTTGATTTGTGATTTGAAAGAAAAACATATTTAAACTAAAAAGTATTTGTAGTTTTTTTGCTTTAAAATGAACAGTTTTTAATGGCCATCGTAGTAAAACCAACAAACTGATTTTGTTTGATATGCAGAGTCTGGTGGAAATGTGTCAAATAGGGAGTTGCAGCAGCTAAAGAAAAGAAATGGGCAACTGGAGGAGGAAAATAATCTCCTAAAACTGAAGATTGAGATTCTCCTGGACATGGTGAGACCTGAACATCAGTTTTTACATTCTCATATCTTGAAGCAAGAAAAGTTCATTCAAAATTCCAAATATTAGATATTTGCAGTTAAGACCAAAACAAAAGTTTGTCTTGTGTGAGACCCCCCCCCCCCCCCCCCCCCCCACACACACACACACACAGGAGTGTTTGACAGAGTGCTTTGTTCAGTTTCAAAATGTTTATGTTCAGTCATCATGCTTTTTTGTCAGGTCATTTGGGTTATTAAAGTTTATGCATGATTACATTTTAATTCTTCCCTCCAGCTGACAGAGACCACAGTAGAGAATCACCTGATGGAAAAGGAAGTTGAAGATATGAAGACTCAACATCTAAGAAAAAAATGACTTTTTTTTCTGGCTGTTTCATGGGAGAAAAAAATCCTTCAAGCATGTAAAACAAAAACTTTTATCAATGCAAAACATTCGTCCAGCCGGAAATCTGTGTTCTGTTCTGTATTTCTATTCCAGTCTGAATCAGATTGGGTATTTTCAACATTTTCAACAAATTGTGTTTCTTAATGACATTTAAAAACTCACATTTTCTATTTGTGTGTAAGCTGTATTGCATGTTTTTGAAAAAAAGTTCATTTTGATTGCTGAAAGACAGAGTTCTTTATTTTTATTCTGATGTAAGAACATGACTTTAGTCACTTATTTAGCTTTTAATTAAAAAGTATTATTGCTCTTTTTTCTCTGTCTTCTTATTCTTGCCTTTGGAAACTAAAGCTAAACATGAAATAAAATAGAAAAGAATATGTCAATTCTTATTTATCAAAAGAGATATTAAGAAACTTAAAGGTTTATTTTTAGCCCCAGGAAGCCCAACCTTTTCTTTTAAATTGACTTTCAGTTTTATTTTACTGGTATGCAGAGTATTTGGGTAGTTTTATTTCGTTAAAATAAAAATAAAACACCTACTTCAAAATGAAAGTAAAACTTATGAGTTCACCTAGATTGATTTGGGCTTACTAGGAGTAAAAAATAAATTTAGATTTGAGAATGATATTGGAGACTTGTCTCCTGATTGGTTGGTTTTCTTTTCCGGAAAAGCCTTTTTGCAGCCATTGGTTTAACGGTAACTTTTACGCATGCGCATCAGCATGTGAGTGGGCGCAGGCGTGTTCTGCAGCGGGAGAGACGAATCGTTAGCTATCATTTTCTTTCGGGACTAAAAAGTTCACCGGCTTTGTCATACAATCTTTGTAACGTTCCGCGACACCCTTGTTGACTTCGATTTTATCATCTTTACATCTTCATAATGCCTCGCGGTGGTAAGTACTTGGGCTAAAGTTAATGTTTTATAGCAATTTTCTGATGGCAAAGTGCTAGCTTAAATTCAATAAATCCCTTTTCGGCTCGCACATGTTTAGCTGTTAGCATGCTAAGTGGCTAATATGTTACAGCGGCTCAAGATAATTCGTGCTGTTGATGTTTGTTATCTATTATCACTAATAAATTATTCCCACCCATTTACAAACGGTGAGCTAAGCCTGGAATGGCTGTATTTGTTATTTTCTCTTCTATCTTAGTTATAAAACAACGGTGACGTGTGTATACGAAACAGGCGTCTTTGTTATTTTCTTCAAGACAAAATGTTTCATTTATTACAGTTACCAACCTGTGGGTAAAGATTTGACCAGAAGAATGTAGTAGCATACTTTGTTTTTACTCGCCATTACCATTAACTGGTGAATAAATACATGTAGTTTCCTCAAGTCACGAGTTAACATCAGATCTAAACTAATAACTAAAAAATCTTGACTCAGCCGGAGTCAAGATTATGAAATGATGCATTGGGGAAGAACACGATTCCTCACAAGTGTTTTATGTTTTAGGGAAATGTGCCACAATAAAAGCTGTCTTGGAGTCGGTCCATTCTGAAGTACTTCTGTGTGAAGTCATATAAATGCAGTTTTCTTGTAAGGGTCGACCGATATATCGGGCCAATATTTACCTTTTCTATACATTGTATCAAACAATATTTGTCCTTAGTAAAGCCAGTTATGTCGGGCACATCCTCGGGCAGCCTGGTGCTGTTGCAAAATTTAATTTACATGTATTTTTACATTCTCGAAAACGTCTGCATAATAAGTACAGCTTAGAGTTCAAAAAATGATTCAGTTTCAGAACTTTTGGGCGTCAGTTTATGTTAATAGTGACATTTTAGCATGACAATATTGTGGAAAATGTCTAGATATCAGCCATGAAAATCAGCAGTACAAATCGGCTGACCATGTCTCCTACATATCAGTATCGGCATTAGGTAAAACCAATAGGTCTACCTCTACTTCTGAGTTAATCTCTTGAATTTCACCAAATGCTCACAGAATAATATGCAGATTGCCAATCTCAATCCAATGGTCCAGTTTTCTAAACTGACCAGTGTGCATACTATTGGTCTTCTCGATGACTCAAGCATTTACTTTGCAGGAAAGAAGGGCCACAAGGGCCGAGGAAAACAGTTCAGCAATCCGGAGGAGATCGATCGACAAATGAAAGCCCAGAGAGAGCTGGTGAGGGAAAGACTTGTAGCAAACTCAGAAATACTTCCAGACCAGGTCTATGTTGAACTTGTTTGTGCTTGTGTTTTAACAGGAAGCAAATGCTGGTGCTGAGAAAGGGAGCTCCTCTGAGTCAGAGGAGGAGAGCAGCAGTGATGAGGAATCAGAGGTGGGTGAAACCTATTCTCCACTCACTTGGTCATATTCTGTTTGAAACTCCACATCCACAAACACATTTTTGAAAAGGTCTTGCATCTGCATTTTGGTTTAAACATGACCCAGTTCAAAGCTAAAAAAAAAGTTCAGAAAAGGATTTTTCATTTAAGATAAAGGTTTAAAAATGTTCTGAGAGTTTAATCAAAATCTATTTAGAGGTTCATCACTTGTTTTGCTAGTCATTATGATGTTGTGTAAAGTGTTCTGGAGTTCTTTGACTCAGAAAAGTGCTATACAAGTGCTGGGGTCTCATCTATCAAACATGGCGTAGAATCCTTACTAAATCCGTACTTAAGCTCAGCCAAAAAAATGTTCTTACGCCAAGCAGGTTGGAGTACATGGAGTACGCACAGCTGCACGCAATCTCCGCTTCATAAATCTGAGAGTAACGAGAAAGTTTCTCAGCTGCATTTTAGTCACATCCCGCCCTCACCACGCCCACTTACTGCCATAAATAGTCAATGCAAAGTGCCTTGTGGATCTCATGCATATACATAAGTCGGCTGTTGCAGCGCTCCGCCAATGATGATGGCAACCGTAGATCAAGGCAGATAAAGGAAATGCAATTTCACAGAAGCAGAAATTGAGGTACCTGTGGGTGAGGTGGAGAAATGAAAGGAAGTGCTTTTGCAAAACAAATAAGAGAAAATCCACGGAGTGGCACAACGTTGCTGAAGCCGTCAACATTGTGAATTCTTCAGAGAGATCTGTGGCGGATATTAAAAAAATGGTCCAATCGGGATTCGATCCCCAGACTCCCGGGTGAAAGTCACGCACGCTAACCAGTCAGCCAAACGGAGATCTCCCTTGTACAAGTAGTCAGGCCACTTGATCAGTTGAGTCACAGTGACAGGACTAGGGTTGTCACGGTAACCGGTGTAGCGGTAAACCCCGGTAAAAAAGTTGACAATAATAATAACCGTCTTGTCTTTAAAAGAAAAATATTATCTCGGTGGATTACCGTGGCTGCGGTGTAGGCACGGTGACCCTTACAGCCACCGTATCATCTGCTGAAGTTGCCGGCGGCACATGCGCACTTTGTTGTTTACAGCCAAAACTTTCTTGAAACTAAAGCTGAAATAATGGCCAAAGGAGGCGACGGCAGCGCTCAGGACATTTATTATCCCTCAAAGAAGACAAAGTGGGAAGTACGGGCATTTTTTGGATATCTGAAGAATGCCGAGGGACAGTTGATAGAAGACGGCTATCCTGTTTGCAGCACGTGCAGAAAAAGAGTCTGTGAAAGGCAGCAACGCTTCAAATCTCATGACACATCTGCGTGACCATCACCCACAACTCTACAGTCAACACAAGGCAAGCTAACATTAGCGTTTTAGCTAAAATGAGTGACCCGAGGATTTGGGTTGAGGGAGAATGCAACGAGTCGCTATATAAAGCAGCTGCAGCGCCGCTACCTGCATATAAACCGTGTTGCGGACACCCCCATGTTGAAATGACGCTTTGCATTACGGGGCTCCCAGGGGCAGATAAGAGTTGGTCTCTCTCTGAGAATAATTATGAATTTAACAATGATTACTGCCTGATGACGTTTTCCCAAATCTGCAAAGCTCACTGGAAGAACACAAGCTGAGGACAATATTTTCCTGATATAGGGTTTATTACTCAAGTAAGGGTAAAACAGTATCTGGTTAGAAGGCTACTTGAGTACTGAGTATCATCTGGTCTAATATTTTTAAATGATGACATCAAACAGACAAAAAATAAGAAATTATGGGCAAATATTGGTATTTTAAAGACTAAAGGGAAAAAATGTAAACAAATAAACAACATAATTACAAAATAAGACATTTGAGGCAAAATTTAGACACAAACTGAGGACAATATTTCCTGACATACAGGGTTTATTTAATTGTGTGAAAATGTAGCACGTTTAAAAAAAATACCGCGATAATACCGAAAACCGTGGTAATTTTGGTCACAGTAACCGTGAGGTTAAATTTTCACACCGTGACAACCCTAGACAGGACACACACTGTCACAGACGCATGACATTCTGTCTCAATCTGTCCCCCTGCTGATATTCTGCATTCCGTATTCTGCGCTTCAGGCTGTGTGTGTGGGGGGTCTTGTTCTGTGTGACATGAAGCAGTACAAGTGATAAAGCTGCAGGATTTCATAATTGTATCCTTCTCAGCAGCAGCACTGCAGGTGCTCTCCATGTCCAAAATGTGAGTAAGCCAGGTCCTTAGTCAACTTAAAGTTGCACACATTTTCCCGCTAAGTTTTCTTTCATAAATCCCAAACTTTGCGTGGAAAGTTGCTTACGCAGTTTTCAGACCCCGTTTTGTGCGTAAATGAGGCTCCTGGTCTTTTATTGCTTTTAGCCTCTTGGTAAAGCCTGCCGCACACAAGAGCAAACCGGTGAGCAAACAACCTCAGGTGACTGTTAGCTCAGCAGATACCTTGCTGTGTGCGCCTGATTTTTCCTTAGTTTTCTGCCTCACAAGACGCTGGTTTGATATTTTCCTCTTCACGGGGGTAAAAACTTACCGTTTACGCACTATGTGAGTTGCCGGCTGAGCTGAAATATTCGTGGCCAATCAAAGTGCGTTCTCTGCACACAGAGACTTTCTGTCCCCCGTGAGGTGAAAAATATCAAACCGGTTTGATTTTCACCTCAGCGTCTTGTGAGGGAGGAAACTCAGTGAAAATTAGGCACACACAGCGAGGTATCTGCTGAGCTAACAGTCACCTGAGGTCGTTTGCTCTTATGTGCGGCAGGCTGAACAGTGATTGCTCCATGTTCACTGATGGTCTGATTGTTGCAGCCTTTTGAGGTTTGCTCAGCATGTGTCAAATACTTCTTTCTTTATGCTGCGGTTTTCACAGAGAACTCTTCTAATAGTTTTATGTGTAACAGATCACCTGTTATCATGAGTTGGTGTTCTCAGAACAATTAAATAACCGAAAGATATAGTTTTGTGTTGAAGCTAGATGCCGTCTGCAGTAGTTCAACGTTTCGGGCTAATTACATGCAATAAACCAAAAAATAAATAAAAACGACAGAGAAGCCAGAAATGTAAAATGGATGATGAAGCTAAGCTTCAATAGAGCTAGTAGTTTTTTATGTAGCTTCTTTTCACTTGTGCTAAACATTTTATACACAGAATAAGAGAAGGAGCGGAGTAGAAGGGCTCATAGAGATTGAGAATCCTAATCGTGTCTCCCAGAAGAGCAAGAAGGTGGCTGAAGTTGACGTCAGTGCTCCCAGAGAGCTGTCTCGCAGAGAGAGGTGGGTGTCACACATGGCAACTGTGTCTGACTTAAAATCTAGAAGACACGTTACTTTGAGACTTCCTTTCTTTTCCAGGGAGGAGATAGAGAAGCAAAAGTCAAAGGAACGCTATATGAAGCTTCACCTAGAGGGCAAGACTGAGCAGGCCAGGGCAGATCTGGCTAGACTGGCAATCATCAAGAAACAGAGGGAAGATGCTGCCAAGAAGAGAGAGGACCTCAGGAAAGGTTAACACACACACACACCTGTGAACTGTTGGAAATGTGTTGCGTTGAAACATGGGACAAGCAAACTGCAGCTGGCGTACGTCCTTTAAAAATTTTAAAGTTACATAAAATCGATAGAATATTCAAATACTAAAATATTCGATAACTGCAGCCCTAATCTAAAGACTAACTTACACTTCTCCATCAGCTCTGCAAGGGAGAGACACACACACACGCATTGACGTAGACATTAAACTTTTGGACTTCTGTGTCACCTGGGGAGTGTTGCAAAGCATTCCCCGCCAGGACAACGGAGGACGTAGTGACACACACACACACACACACACACACACACACACACACACTACTTTACTGAACCCTACTTTATAACTATTTTTAAGTGTATTTGAACTATTTTCCAGTCTTTATACCCCTCCACGAGGGGTGCTGCACCAAAGAGCATGAAAAGAAAGATGAAAAAGATAAGTTTTGGACCACTCTAGGGGGATCTGGGGGCATGCTGTGCCCCTAGAAGAGAATTTGGGGCATTTTTTATTTAAAAGCATCAGTATGTTGCAATCTGAGTAGAGGTGTGAATCTTCACTTGTCTTTCAATTCGATTACGATTATTGGGTCAACGATTCAATTTGATTCGATATCCCGATGCATCACGATTATTTCATATTGATTTGTTTTCATCGATAAATAGAAGATGTCAGATGATTGCTTTTTATTTTTTTTTATATCAAAAATGTAATTGACACAACCTGCCATCCCTCAAAAGCTCTCCATCCACAACAGGTTAGGACAAAACATTTTAAACATTTAAGAAGATTTAACAAAGTAAAACAATCCGTTTCCTCGTTCAACACCACGCCTCAGGCTGAGAAAACACGCTTTGCAAAATCTCACAAAATGTAAAAAAGTACTGAAAACCTACAGGACACATAATGTAATAATAAATTACATAATGGGTTCATATATGAGTGTTTAATGTCTCTGAGCAGCTCTAGAGTCAAATATTTATGCCGCAGTTGAAGGGTGTCAGAAATAACACCAAATGAAATGTTTGACTTAGTTTGTTATTTTATTTGAACCCAGTGGTTCATTTCTGACATGTTGGAGAATGAATCAAGTTCTGTTTGATGCAGAAAATAATAAAACATAAAACAAATTCTACACTTCCAATAATATTTAAGATGTGTGTTTTATTCTTTCTGATAACACCAGCAGAAGGCTGTGGGCTGGATTAGCATTAAATTACCCAGCTGATGAATCTTTCACTAACCAGCTAACTACAAACCTTTCCACTAACCTGTCCTGTGGGACCCTCATGTCCATGCTGTCTCTGGAGGAGCAGATAGGAGACAAGATCTCATGTAACTTAAAATGAACCAAAGCTTCCTCCCAGCTTCTCTTTAAGCTGAATTTAACATCAGTTTATCGTCATGAAACAAAAGAATAAAGTGGAACAAGAACTTCTATTTCTCTCTCCTTTTAACTTCTCCGTGTCCCTAAATAAAAGAGACAGACAATCACGCTGCAGCCGCCGTCATTGACCCCGCCCCTCCCCGGGACCGGATCTCCCAGCATCACAACACTCGATCTGACTGAGCACTTCCAGGAGAAATAATAATTAAATAATGAAAATAATAACGCGTGTTTGGAGCATCGGTTTGGAGGAGCGTCCTCCGATCCTCTCTTGTGTGAGTAGACAGTCTCTCTCTTCTCTCTCTCTCTGTTGCTGTGTGAGCGGAGAGCATGACAACCCGCTAAATTAACATAATTCACGGCCCACATCCAACAGAACCGGTCGTGCTGATATGGTTCCGGTTCGGTCTCAGGTTACAACTCTAGCGCTCAGCCCTGTAGTACCACATTAAGGCGGAACCACTTGGTAAATGTGGAGGACGCTCACTCTGACAGATTTGGATGCTGCGCTGGTGCCGCCATTAAAAACAAAAACAAAACTACATTCCACTATAATCGATTATGGCGTACTCTTCTGCGATGCAGAATCGTTTATGTCCGCATCCCGATGCATCCATTATTTGATTATTTTCCTCATCTCTAAATCTGAGGGGAAAAAGTTGAGTTACAGGCTGGTAAAAATGTATAATAATAAAATATATTTGCACAGAATTATGATTATATATTTAAGTTAACAATAATAACCCGAGCACCCCCCTCGCTTTCACTGCCAATGCACAGCAGCAAAATGGTCCGCAAATGTCCCCACCCTGAAAAAATGTCTAGGGTAAACACTGACTAATTACCAAAATCCCCCCGTGCCCCCTGGTGGTGAATACACCCAACTGATACAAGTCTGATTCCAAAAATCACTTAAGTCCATGTTTTATTATTTAATAGGGACAGATCGTGTCAGTGTCTTCATTTTATTAATATCAACGCAAGTAGCAGTAATAAAAGTATGTTTAACATGAGCTAATGCAACAATCAGTACTATAGATGAGGTCATTTTGGTGAATTTAAGCATAAAGTAGCATCTTCAGGAAACCAGGAAATAGCATCTAGGATTAACTAGGACTTTCTGTATTTTCTCATCGTGGATTGGGCGATCAAAGTTTAAAATAAGTGGCTGAGAAAACCTTTGGGAGTGGCCTGCAAAACGGCGTCTTTTACTCCGTCGGGAAAGTCACAGAATGCCGTAAAAAGCGGCTAGAAGTGCCTGCAGTTCGGCGTTCAGTGCAACGTTCAATGACTAGAAAAAACTTCTGTTTTTACGGCGCTCTGAAAGGCTACATGAAGACAGCGAGCAATACGACGTTCTGAATGAATATTCACCGCTTTTTTCGGCGTTTTTGGTTTAAAGATGGCAATTTAGACGTTGTTAAATAACCAAACATTCTTAAAAGTGGGTGAATTGTGATTCCTTTGGCTTGCAATAGCTGTGTAGCGCTTTTCTGAGGTATCCTGCCATCATTACACCATTTTCCATGAGGCATTCTTCAATCTATTCAACTCTGCCACTTTTTGTATTCTTTTAACTTTTGGCGCCCTCTGCGATGCCTATTGGCATCAATTGTGATAATTGATTTGCAGTAAAGAAGTGTGTCCCATTTATTGAAGTCTTTAATGTTTAGAGTTTTTCACGTCTTGTCCATGCAGAGGTTCCGTAGTTCAGTTGCGTTCATAGCTGCTAGCCAAAACTCAGTGGAGTTGAAGTCTCTTACAGTTTTCTAGATTTACTAAAATATCTGTCTATACTTATTTGATTAATGGCAGTGTTTACTTTTTATTAGACTTAAATGTAATCATTTCGCTCATTCCTAATTCGTAATTTGTAAGAATGTAATTGACGATATTAGCATTGGCATCCTTATGGGTTTTTCTATGTATTGTATGCATTGTGCTAACCACTCGCTGCCAGTCAAATCGCAGCCTTTGCGATTAGAAAATCTCCTTTTGTCACATCGCAATTTAATTGCATATGCAACTAATCGTTCAGCCCTACTGGTATCCAACAAGTTTTAGTTGTTTCCCTTATCCAACACAGTTGATGATCCTGTTCAGCAGCTCCTCAGCCTCTGCAGAAGCCTGTCAGTCGCCTGCTAATTAAAATCAGGTATGTTGAAGCAGGTGAAACACTAAATTAACGGAGTTGGGATTCGCTGCACTTCGGGGCGACGCAATGACAGTCAGCATAGCTTGCCCACCTAGCTTACAGTATATGCCAACTCACCCGGCATTGAATCAATGTCTGTCTGTTAACTTCAAACTAACTGTAGAAGAGTAGTGAGAAGAATGAAAAGGGATTTATCTTATGTGTATTGGAGCTAAGTGATTAGCAAAGCATTCAACTTAGTGTTATTTGGGAATAGTGTTTAAAGCAGTGGTTCCCAAACTTATTTAGCCGCGCACCCCCTTCTATGTCCCGACCATGTCAACGCACCCCCCAGCCCCCACATCAGGGCATAGCTTTATATATATATATATATATATATATATATATATATATATATATATATATATATATATATATATATATATATATATATCAGACGTCAAGCTAAACAGTCACTCGACAGACAGGGTTAAAAAAATATGATCGACCTTTTTCCTCCATCACTTTCGTTTTTTAGATAGTAATTAAAAAACATTCGATACCATTACAATTTCCTTTGATTTAATTTTAAATAAATATTTAGAGTGCCCAGGTAGCACATTAAAAAATGCAATTTAACGGTTTTCTTAAAGTAGGAACGTTTAACCTGTGCGGCCAGAGCTCTCTCCTTCCTTCTGCGCTGCGTAAACCTGAGCTGATCACCTACTTGTGCGTAATCAAATGTCCATAGGGGAAAAGGGAAAAGCTGTAGCTATGAGGTTCACTTTTGCCTCAGACAGACTTATTGCTGTTTTATGGTGTGGCTGAATCTGCGATCCGCTGCCACGCGGACTGGAATAACAAATGCTGCAGTAACATGAGTTCAGGTTCGGAGTCACTGGCTGGAGCGGACCCGACTTTAATATGTCATCCCAAAATAGAAGCTAATATCTTAATTTGACCTGGAATGAAAAATGTTGTTATTAAACCTCTTAAAAGTTTTTATCACAGAGGAGGCAGCGCTCATTTCTGCTTCAGTCTGACGGCGCGCCGGAGTTTGCGCAGCGTGCACGCTTATTGAATCTGTGTGTGTGTGTGTGTGTGTGCGCGCGGCACAGCTCCATGAAGCTTGGTTTATGCTTGACTCATTCACTTTCCGCTTGGTGATGCGGCTCGCGGATGGAACGTGCTTCACAACTTGCAGCGTTTAGGTCACTGCGTCTCATTATCGGCGCTATTTAAACCAATGTTGTAAACCTACTTATGCCCCGCCCAGATGTGCTCACATGTGCACCCGTGAGCCGTGGTTCCGCTGGAACTCGTCTGACCTCTGACAGACGCACTCTGAACTTCATATCTTCAGCGCGCTGTTAATAGCCTGAATGGGAATCATTTCTTGATTTATTTTGTTACATCCACAATGTTCTGTGTGTGAGGTTTACAATGTCAGAACACC